ACAAAGAGAAAGTGTACTAACAAAAGAAGAACAAAAAGAAAGTGAACTAAAAAAAAGAAGAAACAAAGAGAAAGTGTACTAAAAAAGAAGAAACAAAGAGAAAGTGTACTAACAAAAGAAGAACAAGAATAAAGTAAACTAACAAAAGAAGAACAAGAAGAAAGTGTACTAACAAAAAAAAAAGAAAAAAGAGAAAGTGTACTAACAAAAGAAGAACAAGGAGAAAGTGTACTAACAAAAGAAGAACAAGGAGAAAGTGTACTAACAAAAGAAGAACAATGAGAAAGTGTACTAACAAAAGAAGAACAAGAAGAAAGTGTACTAACAAAAGAAGAACAAAGAGAAAGTGTACTAACAGAAGAAGAACAAAGAGAAAGTGTACTAACAGAAGAAGAACAAAGAGAAAGTGTACTAACAAAAGAAGAACAAGAAGAAAGTGTACTAACAAAAGAAGAACAAAGAGAAAGTGTACTAACAAAAGAAGAACAAGAAGAAAGTGTACTAACAAAAGAAGAACAAAGAGAAAGTGTATTAACAAAAGAAGAACAAAGAGAAAGTGTACTAACAAAAGAAGAACAAGAAGAAAGTGTACTAACAAAAGAAGAGCAAAGAGAAAGTGTACTAACAAAAGAACAAGAATAAAGTGAACTAACAAAAGAAGAACAAGAAAAAAGTGTACTAACAAAAGAAGAACAAAGAGAAAGTGTACTTAGAAAAGAAGAACAAGAAGATAGTGTACTAACAAAAGAAGAACAAAGAGATAGTGTACTAACAAAAAAAGAACAAAGAGAAAGTGTACTACCAAAAGAAGAACAAGAAGAAAGTGTACTAACAAAAAAACAAAAACAAAGAGAAAGTGTACTTACAAAAGAAGAACAAGGAGAAAGTGTACTAACAAAAGAAGAACAAGGAGAAAGTGTACTAACAAAAGAAGAACAAGAAGAAAGTGTACTAACAAAAGAAGAACAAGAAGAAAGTGTACTAACAAAAGAAGAACAAGAAGAAAGTGTACTAACAAAAGAAGAACAATGAGCAAGTGTACTAGCAAAAGAAAAACAGGAAAAAAGTCTACTTAGAAAAGAAGAAGAAGAAGAAAGTGTACTAGCAACAACAACAACAACAACAAAAAACACAGACGGCAGGAGACCACACCTAAAACCAGAACAGACCGCGGTTCCTCAATGATGCAATAGCCACAGAAGCCATGCCTACAGCAACACAACTGACAGCTAGCAGGATCATCATCAATACGGATCGATAGTTAAGTGCTCCCAAGTCAGCAAGTCCCGGCAGACGCCACGACTAACCGCCCGAGAGCAGCTCGTGGCTTTCATCTACCGCCAAACTAAAGATAATGGCAGCAGAATTGATAAAGCACACATACGGACGACCTTGGGAGTCTTAATAGAACTCTCTTCCCCTGCCTCTCCCCGCCACTCTCCTGCCGGGGAAACGGTTGTCAGGCGTTGTCATCGAGTAGTAAAAGGGCGAAGGCGGGAGACTGAGCCCCAGCATCAGTTGATTGATCTCTGGTGTTAAGATGTATATACTTAGACACAAGTAAGCCAATGGGAGGGGAGGGCGAAGGGGAGAGCCCGTTTGCTTCCTATTTCATCGGGAGAAGGGCGAAAAATAAAAACAAAACAAAAGAAGGGACAGAAAGACACAATGATAGACAGACACAATATAGATAGATGAAAAAACGCAGACTGAAAGATGGACGGATAACTGGAGAGACATAAGGAAATGGAAAGATGAACAGACTGATCGACGAACGGACATAAACTAGAAGCATGGACAGACAAAAATGAATACGGAGTGGTTGATTAGGAAACAGACAGACAGAAACATGAACAGACAGCAGGAGTACTGAGACTCAAACAGAATCACTTACTGGCAAACATACGGAAAGACAGAAAAGGAATGACAGATAAGATGAAAAACAGACAGAGAGACAGAAGGTAAACACAGTCAATAACAAAGAGACTGGCAGGCAAAGATAGGCAGAATGGAGTTGTCTAAAACATATGTGTGTAAAAGGTACTTAGACCAAGAGACCAATATAGCAGGGAAAATATAAACCTAGAGATATAAGGGAGGAAAAAACGCAGAGAAATGTCAACCAAGAGGCAGAAGACATACCAAGAGAAACAGATCAAGAAAAGACACACTAACAAAAATATAGACCAAGAGGCAGAAGACACAGTAAGAGAAATAAGGACCAAGAGAAAGATACTAACAGAAATGTGGACCAAGAGAGAGATACTAACAGAAAAGTGGACCAAGAGAAAGATACTAACAGAAATGTGGACCAAGAGAGAGATACTAACAGAAATGTGGACCAAGAGAAATATACTAACAGAAATGCGGACCAGGAGAAAGATACTAACAAAAAATGTGGACCAAGAGAGAGATACTAACAGAAATGTGGACCAAGAGAAATATAGTAACAGAAATATGGACCAAGAGAAAGATACTAACAGAAATGTGGACCAAGAGAAAGATACTAACAGAAATGTGGACCAAGAGAGAGATACTAACAGAAATGTGGACCAAGAGAGAGATACTAACAGAAATGTGGACCAAGAGAGAGATACTAACAGAAATGTGGACCAAGAGAGAGATACTAACAGAAATGTGGACCAAGAGAGAGATACTAACAGAAATGTGGACCAAGAGAGAGATACTAACAGAAATGTGGACCAAGAGAGAGATACTAACAGAAATGTGGACCAAGAGAAATATACTAACTGAAATGTGGACCAGGAGAAAGATACTAACAAAAATGTGGACCAAGAGAGAGATACTAACAGAAATGTGGACCAAGAGAAATATACTAACAGAAATGCGGACCAGGAGAAAGATACTAACAAAAAATGTGGACCAAGAAAGAGATACTAACAGAAATGTGGACCAAGAGAAATATACTAACAGAAATGTGGACCAAGAGAAATATACTAACAGAAATGTGGACCAAGAGAAATATACTAACAGAAATGTGGACTAAGAGAAAGATACTAACAGAAATCTGGACCAAGAGAGAGATACTAACAGAAATGTGGACCAAGAAATTGAAGACATAGCAAGAGAAATATGGAAGACGAGAAAGATACAGAGAGACAGATATGTCCATGAGACAAATACACCATGAGACAGATATACCATGAGGCATGTGGAATAGAAGACAGATATACCATGAGACATGAGGACCTAGAGACAGATATACTATGAGACATGTGGACTAAGAGACATACCATGAGACATGTGGACTAAGAGACAGATATACCATGAGACATGATGACCAAGAGACAGATATACCATGAGACATGATGACCAAGAGACAGATATACCATGAGACATGATGACCAAGAGACAGATATACCATGAGACATGAGGACCTAGAGACAGATATACTATGAGACATGATGACCAAGAGACAGATATACCATGAGACATGAGGACCTAGAGACAGATATACTATGAGACATGTGGACTAAGAGACAGATATACCATGAGACATGATGACCAAGAGACAGATATACCATGAGACATGATGACCAAGAGACAGATATACCATGAGACATGATGACCAAGAGACAGATATACCATGAGACACGATGACCAAGAGACAGATATACCACAAGACATGTGGACTAGGAGACAGATATACCATGAGACATGTGGACTAGGAGACAGATATACCATGAGACATGTGGACTATGAGACAGATATACCATGAGACATGTGGACTATGAGACAGATATACCATGAGACATGTGGACTAGGAGACAGATATACCATGAGACATATGGACTATGAGACAGATATACCATGAGACATGTGGACTATGAGACAGATATACCATGAGACATGTGGAATAGAAGACAGATATACCATCAGACATGTGGACTAAGAGACAGCTATACCATGAGACATGTGGACTAAGAGACATATACCATCAGACATGTGGACTAGGAGACAGATATATACCATGAGACATGTGGACTAGGAGATACACACACTCACCGACAGCCAAGTGGACAAACTGTGAGACTAACCAAAAGAAAATGTACACGAAGACACCTCCCCGTGGAAGTTCATGGGGCCCCATCGAGTGTGTGTGTGTGTGTGTGGGGGGGGGGGGGGGGGGTAGATCTACTGCCTCCCCAACAAGCAGAAATGTGAACAGCATTTCATCTATATGAAGAGAAATGTGGACAGCCTTTCATCTATAGGAAGAGAAATGTGGACAGCATTTTATCTATATGAAGAGAAATGTGGACAGCATTTCATCTATAGGAAGAGAAATGTGGACAGCATTTCATCTATAGGAAGAGAAATGTGGACAGTCTTTCATTTATAGGAAGAGAAATGTGGACAGCATTTCATTTATATGAAGAGAAATGTGGACATCATTTCATTTATATGAAGAGAAATGTGGACAGCATTTCATCTATAGGAAGAGAAATGTGGACAGTGTTTCCTGTATAGTAAGAGAAATGTGGACAGCATTTCATTTATATGAAAAGAAATGTGGACAGCATTTCATTTATATGAAGAGAAATGTGGACAGCATTTCATCTATAGGAAGAGAAATGTGGACAGCATTTCATGTATAGGAAGAGAAATGTGGACAGCATTTCATCTATATGAAGAGAAATGTGGACAGCATTTCATGTATAGGAAGAGAAATGTGGACAGCATTTCATCTATATGAACAGAAATGTGGACAGCATTTCATGTATAGGAAGAGAAATGTGGACAGCATTTCATCTATATGAACAGAAATGTGGACAATGAGACAGATATAAAGATGGCCACTTGTTGACCAACTGACACGTGCATGAAGACACAGATGTATCAAAATATGCGTAGCCCAACAGACAGGTGGATCCTGCGCAATACACAGCAAGATACACTTCGCAAGTCAGAGAAGATCAGGTCTATATAGGTTGGGGGGAAAAACTAGACATGTACAGATGACCCAAAGTATGGCTTACCTCTGGTGTGTTTTTCTTGAATTCCCGACTCAGTTCTACCAGCCGTTTTCTGGAGCCCTCGCTTTCATCCTGTCTGTTTGCTAAGTCTGTTGCAGTTGTGTCAAGTTCCCTCTGTGGACAAACAGAAAACAATAAAGGAACGGAATTTTTACACAAGTGGGAAACAAAGTAAGAATGGGTACAGTTATGACAGCTGCCCCACTGGAAGACTGAGCAACCCCTGCAATGAATTAAAGTGCAGTTTCGTCGATTAGGATGTCCTTACATATTATATTTTTTTTTTTTTCTTCAAAATTTACATCTATAATTTTAAAAAAATACACTGGATGAAGTGTGCGACATAACCACACGCACACACACAAATCAATGAAAGAGAACAGAGAACAAATAAAATGCATGGGTCACATTAAAAGATGTAAAACTTAGAAACGAATGTCGTCGTGGTGTAGCGGATAGAAGCTCGCCTGTGGGCCGCAAGGTCGCGAGCTTAAAACCGCAACAAGTCGAGATTTTTTTTTTCTTTATAACAAAATCAAAAATCCTTAGACCCAGGTCGACCCAACCTATAATGTTTATGAGGTAAAGCTCTGGCAAAAAAGGCGAATGGCATAATACCGACCATATCAGCCACTGAATGTCGACTAGTCTGTCAAAGATATGTTTAGCACTATTTATCCAATACGTCACAGGGATAAGGACAAGGGTCCTTTACTTAACACTAGGCGGGGAAAGTTGCGGCCGCGGAGACGAGAGTGGTGCGACAATCGTGTCCCATCAGGGAGATGACTCCACCAAATGTGTACTGGTAGGGACGAGTTCTACCTGGCAATGAAACCAAATTATCCTGTCTGCCTGGCAGTGGGTTCCTCCATCTAGAGACTCAATGGACATGCTACAGAAGCACCCAAACTGATATCAAGACACAGAATAGCCAAATAATAGGAAGGCATCAAAGAACCGAAGAATCACTATCATCATGATGGATAACCATAAAACCATAAAGACCTCAATTATAACCAAGAGCTTATTCAAGCCGACTGAACGCGATCAACCTGTTTTCAAGCAAGCAAGAATGAAATTCAAGCATGCGAGCAAAAGGCACATATCATATGTGGAAGGATAACATAAAGTGACGCGGGAACAGTAGACAGACACCACACAGCCACGACGACACACAAGGTGTATTACAAGCAACCTTTATTATGTAGATGGCATCTGTTTGAAGATGCAGATAACACGCATGTTCCTAGAAACCTCAGGGTGCAATTAGGTCAGAGAGAGCGAGAGAGAATTAGAGAACGAGGTGACACAGATGAGGATATGCGGTGAGTGTCTGTTTTTTAGCATGCCGCAAAAAAAGCACCATAAAAATTAGAAGTTTATATTGGAAGAAAAAAATACAAGCACACGATTATCAACAGTACGCTGCTTGCCAAATGTCAACAACTTATACTGAACCGTTACTTAGTTACAGATTTATAAATTTGGGCACAACTTCTGAAATGGACTGTAGTAGTTGTAGTTCATTTGAATGGTCGCGGTATTGAAATTACAAGAACTGACGCGGTATTCAAATGATCACGGCTGCACAAGCGACATTTACACCAGTTCGGTGTGCGCATATTAATCACAACTCGGGACTCGATGAAGGAATGCACCTTCAAGAACGGACTGCAAGCATCGTAGGATACCGTTACTGATCAAATCGTTACGGGCCACAATTTGATCGTGGCCAAAACCCACAAGTGATGGGGGATCGTGCGAGTGTATAAATTATGTGTGGTCTAGCAAGCTTTGATGTAAATAGATATGTATCATTTGGGGCATACTTTGGGCCCTCAATGTTCAATGCAAACGTGATCTGGATAGAATTGGTGAATTCACTTCGGTGTCGTGTTTGAACTGGTAACACTTTGATAACGTGACTGGAATCGGGTCGGTGTGCATACGGTAGGACACACTGACAGTCACATTGTCGTTGAGCTGGCTGCAGATTGGACAAAGCGTTATAACAGACACTTTCTAGTACAGCGCAGAACACATATAAATGAAGTAGTACAGGCATACAAGCAGAATAAATAACACCAGTAGAAGACAAGTACATGAAGGCAGACATTTTGACAGACAAATGTAAAACAGGTGAGAGTAAACGTACACCCCGACATTTAGAAGGTTACATAAAGTGGAACATATAAACATAAAGACAGGGAGGGAAAAAAAGCACTTAGGTTGGAACAGACAGACGTAAAAAAATTAGGAGAAGGGTATAAAAACAAACAAGTGTACATAGAATACAAGTACACGAAAAAAGACATTAACAGACACAACTCGTTACATATATGATAGATACCGTAAATCTGGGAGAAATGTGGCTTTTCTGTCTACCCCCAGGCGTGAACCTGAACCACAAGGTGTTCGCCACCCATAGCTCGCCTCGCTAGAGTAGTTGGTTAAACCTGACTTCGTGGCGACCGGGTGATGAACTTCTTGTGGTCCGGGTTCACGCCATGAGTTAGGCAGAAAAGCCACATTTCTACCAGATTTACGGTATTTATCTTGGAATCAAGGCCGAGGGGTTGCGATATTCGCAGTTCCGTACCAAAGGGTTAACAACTCATGGTTTCTGGATATTTACACACACACACACACACACACACACACACACAAGTTGTAACACAGTATAACTTTATGGTATAGTACAATTGCGTGGTACAGTACAATCTCTGGGTTTACTTCAATGATAGAGTGGTAGATATGAATTTCAGACAAAGGCTTTAAACAGAAGCCAAGGACGCAAGTGTATGCAGAACAAAGCTGAGCAGTGATGTTAATACAGGATTCATTGCTGTGGAACGGACGTGCATGAAAGCAGGCATATCTACAGACAGTACAATTCTCCTTCTCTGTACAGTAGACTTTCTCGGTACGACGGTACAACTTCTTGGTGCAGTACAAAGTATCGATATGTGCAGCCTCTTGCTGCAGTACAATATCTCGATACACAAAAACGTATATAACAAGGGAAAGTAACATGTTTCTGGGACGGGACAAGTTCAGCCGCCGCATCTCGCCCATGTGTGAACACACAATCCGCGGACTGCGTGCACAGCTTTCTGACAGACACGCCTGTGGTGTCAGGTAACGCTGGAATCTGGTCTTCTGTTCGCCATAAACTCGGCACACATCTCGCAGAAGCTGTTCTCTTAATCACAGCACTCATCGGAGAGAATCTCACCAACCCGGTACAAGAAACAATACATCAATAATATTCTTCCGTTAAAGCTCCTCTCCACATTAAAGACTACCCCGATTTCTTGCTGGCGGCGACTGTGGCTTAGGACTTGAGAACACGCGGTTCGTAATGCCGGAGTGCCACGTTCGATCCCAACGGACCACTTTCAGGGCCGCCAATGATGGGTTTTTACCCCCAGATCTGGGTTCAGATTTTGGAATCTTTTTTTTTTTTTTTTGTACAAAATATTTCTTTATATGAAAGTGGGTAAAAATTTCGTTTTGTAGCTATACAATTTGTTCTTTTTAATCAATCTTTTTTTTTTTTTTTTTTTTTCAATTGTATTGCTGGGTTTGTTGGCCAGTTCAGCTTTGGATTTGATAAAAAATCCTATTGGCAGCCCTGACCACATTACGTTGTTTTCCATTCTGGTATCGGGAGCCGACCCATCAGAGGCAATGGCAAACTAGTGAATGTAAATTTGCCTAGAAACCCCACAGCAGCCACACACACACAAAATGTTAGGCTAGGTTTTGCCACGCATTGTCAAGAAGGAGCAACTAACTGTTTTTGTAACTATATCTGCTCTGTGGGTTCCAGTACATGAACAGTCTATTTGGGTTTTTCAGAAAGGTGTGTAGTTCTTCTTCTAAGTTTCGTTCAAATTACATTTACACAAATCCATTTCAAGCAACGATAGCGTAGTGTGCTACAGACAGTCGTGATCATCCTAACCCATGGCGACGGCGAGTGTGACTAGCAAGACCCGTTCTCCTTAATAAAAGTCTGCCACGGTAAAATGCATTAGATTTCACGACAACTGTCTTTAATTAGTTCTTCGTCTTCTCATTTCTCTTCATCTGTGTTTGCCATTAAAATATCCGCACTCATCTTGCTTTATCTGCGCACTGCAACCCAAACATCCGAATATTAGCAAAACCCTAACTGGTCACCTTTTATGACAAGCTTGTGGCTATATTCTCCCCTCGCACCCCAATCCCCCCAAACCATACCCACAAATACCATAACCCCATCCTCGCAAATCATACCCACAAATACCGTAACCCCATCCCCGCAAACCATACCCATAAATACCCTAACCCCATCCACGCAAATTGCCAGCAAACCCTACCCATAAATACCATAACTACATCCCCGCAAATGCCCTCGAATTATTGCCACGAATACACCCCATTCCCGCAAACGCCCCCAACCCATACCCACATCCCCGCAAATACCCCTCCAGCCCTGCAAATGCCCCCCTCCCCCAATCCACACAGAGACAATCAGCAAACACAAGTGAATGACCGTCAGACGTTTCAGCCCACTACGACATCACACCGAGCCATAAACACATGCTGACACAAAGTGCCACAATTCGGATGAGGAGCACCCGGGGACAAAAGCCACACATAGACTGGGTTGCATTAGGGTCCCATGCAACAGCCAAGGTGGGGCTTAAAATAGCGAAAAACTGCGTCGCACAATGGTGATGGATTACACGTACACCAGTGAATTAGCACCCACATGTGAAAACAGGTGTGACTGCAGTCAAGCTAATACTAAGTAATGCCAGTGAATTGTGACTAAAAAGCTTAGCGAAATAGGAAGGCAGAACAACATGCAGAAAACAACACAAATCGACGTTTCGGCCGGGGCCTTTTTCGATATGAAATGAACTACGCAACGCTGACAAAGAGGAGAGTACTCCAACCACTATGGGGTGACATGGGCAACTTTTTTTTTTTAAAGGTGATGTGGAAGGAATGAAATAAAATAAATGTAGGCTAAAAATATAGTCACAAGAAATTGAATTTAATATTGTTAATATATAATAGTAAGAATATAAGAGTAACAGAAACACAAATGATAATGATCC